GGTGCTGGGGGATTGAACCGCGGTCCCCAATGCTTTGCCAAGCTTGTTCTAAGTAGGCGCTTTAGACCACTGAGCCATCTCTCCAGCCCCTGCACCAGTTTTAATGAGTTCTCTATAAAAGCTACACACATGGTAAAGAATGAGACGCACTCACTAGATGCACGTAACTTACCCTAGGTCATAAAAGGTAATAAAATGGGAGAACCTACAAGCTAGACTAGGCTACCTAGATTGGTCTAAACAACATGGTTCATGATATTAACCATTCTTCTATTATTGCCTTAACATCAGTTTCTCTATTTTTTTGAGGCCAGGTCTTACACTTTGTAGTTTACGGCTAGCTGTGTAGTTCAGGTTAGCTGTGGGCTCTTAGCATTCATCTGAACTCAACATCCCAAGTGCCTGCACTGCAGGCATGCACACCATACCTGGCTAGCCTTTATCTCTTCTTATGGAAGACTTATACAACCACCTTCTGTAAAACTATTTTCTCCTATCAATCCGATCAACTTAATAAGCTAGAAGTAATTTGTAAATGTTTCTCCTAGAAATCAGTCTTAGAATATATAAAATAATGAATTACTTCTATGCCATTTTACATTAAGATCTCATCTAAAACATAGTTCAAAGACTATGAGTGTTGCTGAAAGTGTACTGCAAAATGGAAAGCCTTATGTAAGGATAAAGTTATCTTTTAAAATCTCTCCATTGATCACTAGCAGTGACAAAATCTTTTATTCTCAACTGTCAATAAACACATTTGCATCTGTGTATTCAGAGTGGTTGGGATAGATATATAGTTGCATTCTCTTAATGAATAGAATGATTTGTTCTAATGGTGTTTGTAAATAGGATCACAAGTCTGCATCTTGTACAGCAATTAACCACTAAGAAGAATATATGCAGTGTATTATTTGTTGAAACTGTACTTTCGATTTGATTTGAAACTGTCTCATTGCTATCTGTTTATCAATAAAACTTTGAAAAAAAAAGAAAGTTTCTAATACAAAAAAAAACAAACAAACCACATTTGCTAGATATTAAATTACTGGTTCTATATACATTTCTGTCCCCTTTCCCAAAGTATGGCACAAGTTTCCCATCTTATGTTAATCTCAACAGAAGTTACATCCACTGTCATCAAGTTTCACTCCTACTTACCCGTGCAGTGCTCTTACAACAGTTTTCTCCAGAGGGTTGTTCGTGTATCTGCTATCTAAGTTGAACGCATACTCTGTTTCACATTTGAAAGTGATCTTAATGGACCCATCACGACTAACTACTACGTGGGAGCAAAAAATATTTTTAAGGTTGGAAGATACAAATCGACTTCTGCGCTTTACCAATGAATCCTCAGAAAGCTTTTGTAGAGGGGAGGTGTGCTGCAGATGCCGAAATGGCATGACTTTCCCCACTGGAGTTCTGGTGTCAGGGCCTTTTATTCCATTCTTGGTAAAAGCAGGGCCTGGCAACCCTCTCTGCTGTAGATGTTTCTTTGAGTGTTCTCCAAGAAGCAAGGCATATGAATGTTCCACAATAATAAGAGTGTTTTGGCTTGCACCGAATTGCAACATTGGTTGTAATGTTTCCTTATGGAGTGCTGAATGGGCATTAGCAGGTATCTGACTACAAGAAACGGAGTTTTCTTCTTGGCTAACAGTTGAATCTGACCCTGAATTATTCTTCTGATCACAGGATGATTTAGGTAATAGTATACCTTTTTGACTTTTAACTCCCCTATGATATTCATGGTCAGAAGTACCACTCAGTGAACTGTCTTTGGAGAGTAAAGCATCATTTTGTGGCAATTCAGAGGAGCAGGGAAGGTTTCTAGCCTCATGTAATGGTGTGGGAGAGGCAGCAGAGCTTAATGCTAGATCAGCTAACATATTTAGGGCCTGGGAGTCATAGTTGATAATGGAGTTTCCAGGAAGATCTTTTTGAGTCACTGTGGTACTTTGTGGTTGAGCTGTATTTATGTTAATTCCATCTTTTTGACCATCTGATGAAATTCCTGATTGAAGCTGTAAAGCAGTTTCTTCTTTGGCTTTAGTATGAAAGAAAAAATTAAAAGATGTAACACTATTCATAGAATTATCCTTTATATTACATCTCAGTGAAAAAATTAACAGTTACATATTCAAGCAATATCTCTTGATATGTCACATAGAATATATATCAGAATTTTATTAACAGATTGAGGTGTCTCTCAACCCTCAAATATGTATGTTATAAAGTACTGACAGAGGAAGAACAAATCTTAGAGGACTTATACACTAATGTAAAAAGATGTTACCATTCAAAATGGTGACATCTTGAATGTTTTAAATATATTTAACTATACATATTTAACTATAGACACAGCATACTATTAAGCCAAGAAACATACAGAGAAGGAAAAAAAAAATCAAGGAAAAATGACAGAGTCCTGCTCTCAGGGAGCTTACAATCCAGTGAGGACATAAGAACACAGAAGTTGAAAGTACGTATGTATTACTTAGCTAACGTATGTTCTCAGAAACTACTTCCTTTAGTAAGTGATAAGAAAAACTACCTACATTTAAAACATACTGATTTTTAAACTATGTTGGGCTTAAATTGCAATATTTAATGACACACAAAATTAGGTGTCATGAGTATCTTGAGTTACTAGTTAATGTTATCTTTTAAAAACATTCCTTTCAGTAATGAAAATTTACCCCTTTACTACATCCACAAAGAGCAAATCTGGTAACTTGTCTATAAATAAAATTTATATTCTCCAGTGATTTGTTTACCTAGTCCTCATTTTTCTATTATTTTTTGAAACAGGATCAAAAAACATACTGGGTTCAAGGGCTGCCCTTCAACTCACTACGTAGTCAGGGCTTGCCTAGAACTCATGATGAGATCCTTCTGTTGCAGCCCACTAAGTGTGGGGATTACAATCGCATTAATCCTTCTTTTTTTTTTTTAATTTTATTTATTTATGTGTGTGTGTGTGTGTGTGGCCAGCTCAGCCCACCAGGGGGCGGGGCTGGCTGGCATTTGGTGCTGAGGGATTGAACCGCGGTCCCTGTGCTTTGCTAAGCTTGTTCTAAGAAGGTGCCTTAGACCACTGAGCCATCTCACCAGCCCCACATTAATCCTTCTTAAATGCTGTTATTATTAAGGAAAAAGTTCACAATTATATTAGGCAATGATTCCCTGTTGCAAGTGAATGGGTAGACAAAAAAGTCAACTGTGTTCCTCTCTATTTGAGGAATGAGATTGTAATCCCCACACTTAGTAGGCTGCAGCAGAAGGATTTCATCATGAGTTCTAGGCAAGCCCTGACTATGTAGTGAGCTGACGGGCAGCCCTTGAACCCAGTATGTTTTTTGATCCTGTCTCATAGTAGGTCTGTAATGAATTGGTAACTTGCTTGTAAAGGCCAACAACTAATACATTTAAAGAAAAGAAAACTCTAGCCTATTATGTTATCATTAGAATGAAAGGGATGTGTGCGGGAGCATAAAATTAATCAACCACAGTCTAGTTTTTATTGAAAATAGCCAAATCCGAAGGGGCTTATGGAAAAAAGGAGCTCGAAGCAGAATCAACTACCTCATTTGTCCCATGGGTAGACTGGAAAACACCCTCTCATCCCCCAGCCCATAGTGGGATCAAATCAACAACTGTGGGCATCCTAGGCCAAATGCTCTACCACTGAGGTATTTTCAGCCCTTAACATTTTCTGTTTTATTTTGATTTTAATTTTGAGACAAGAGCTTGCTGTGTACTGGCCTTGTACTTACTACACAGTCCTGAATATCCTTGAACTAAGATCTTTCTCACTCAGCCTCCCAAATGCTAGGATTACAGGCTGCACTACCGTGCCCAGGAGAAACATGTAACTTATTTTATGATACATCTTAGCTGACACTAATTTCACCCTATCTCTGTTAACACTGTCTTCCATATACTTAGCTGTTAACTTGCAAGGGAAGTTAACTGAGAAGTGTATTGAAGTGAAGAAAAGTGATAGTTTAATATGTATAGTCTTAAGTAAATGTTTGACTTGTAATAAACAAAAATACTGATACTCTAAGATAAGACAATGCCAAATGAATTCTACAAAAATGTAAAAAATTCAGTGAATAAAAAACTACCACAAACTTTAAAATGAATAGAAAGCTATTTTATTTTTTATTTATTTTTTGTATTTAGGACAGGGTGTACAGGGTATATGGGGTCTCACTATGTATATCGGACTCATACTGATCCTCCTATTTATAGCCTCCCAAGTGCTGGGATCATAGGCGCGTGCCACCGTGACCAGTGTCAATCACCATCTCAGCGTGCCCCGAGCTGGCACAGCAGGCCGGGATCGATCTCTGGGTCCCTCTGTCTGCCTAAGCAGGTGCTTTAATCCGCTGAACTATTTGGCTGGCCCAGAAAGCTGTTAGTTTTAATAAAATTGACTTCAAAATTCTCATTTGATTCTAGTAATTAAAACTCAAAATCTTTTAATCAGTACTTTTCAAATTAAGGCCAGCATAACTATGTTCCATCTGTCTTAACATGTTCCTAGTGGGGCAACACATGCATGACTGCCCTTTTGGACAGTTTGTACCACTGGCAGTACATGCACAACTATCCCACAGCACGGGTCAGTCCTATTGGGTAATACAAGTAAGTCATCCAATGGGACAATCATGCACGTACCACCAATAGTTCAACCCACCTAACAGGACAATCATGCACGTATTATCAGTGGTTCAAGCTGGGATGAATGTTTTAAACTCTGATATGTCAAGTATAACAAATAAAGCAGATTAGTACAGGTGATTGAGAAATGGAAAAAAATTGAGATTATTTAAAAGGCTGTATCTTAAAAATTTAAATAGGCATGTGGCTGCATATATAGACATTACAATACAAATGAATTTACTTTAAAAATATTTTATTTACTTATTTGGTACAAGGTCTCACTATGCAGCTCAGACTCATAGTGATCCACCTGTCTCAGTTCCCCAGTGCTGGGATTATAGGCATGTGCCACCAGCCCCAGTTTTGGTGGCCAGCATGGCATGCCCAGGGTCCTGAGGCTGGCATCATGGTATGGCATGTAATACCAAGGACCAAACTCCAGTCCTTGTGCTTGCCAAGCACATGCTTAGACTGCCGGACTATCTCCCCAAACCTCAAATGAACTTACTTTTGAATATGCATTTTAAAAAATTGATTTTCTGGGCTCATTTTTCTGCCAATATCCAATGGCACAGTTCCTCTCAATAAATTTGTCTATGAATATTAAAAGCTGATTCAGTACAAAGAATTCAAATACTACTACTATAGGATATAGTACGTGGTTACAAACTCTAAAGACAGGACCAAGCCACACCAAAGGCTTAACAAGTAACATAAATTAAATTCTATAATGTTCTCAAACACCCAAAAGAAAATGAGCACAAGATTGGAGAGTAAGGAAATGCCTCTATCTGTAGACAGGATCTAGCTGCACAGAACCTGAGTGGGGAGAGAATTACACCAGACTAAAAATACCTTATTTTGTGTGGAGGATCATCTGTGTAACTCTCCTTGAAAGAAGGGCAATTAAGTCCATCTTGGCTAAATGTGGTCCTATTTCCACATACTGATATGTACAAAGCTGGCTAGGACTTTGCCTTTTCTCTTCAGTTGGCTTCATGTAATGAAAACAGTCCAGGGCCAGGGAAATGGCTCAGTAGAATAAGCGCTTGCCTGGCAAGCAGAAGGACCTGAGTTCAATCCCCAGTTCCACCAAAAAAAAAAAAAAAAAAAGAAAGAAAGAAAAAGAAAATCTGTCCAGCCAAGGAGCTGATAGTAGTCTTTGAAGCAAGGCGATAGGTCAGTGTTGTCCTACCCCTCCAAAAGCATGTATGAACTGGCATGAGAGGCATGCTTTAGCTCATGCTGTCTGCTGGCTTTGAGCCTCAATACAAGAGGTCATGACTTCCCAGGGCATCAAAGATTACACATCGGAGCTGAAGCAAAACATTAGAGGTGCTGGGCTGAGGCCTCTGTCCTGGTTAGCTGTCATCCTAGCTGCACTTAGGACATCCTTGGCTTCCCATAAGTCTAAATATGTCTTAGTGTCTTTATTCTGCACTGCACTGGAAGTGATAGATTGGAATTATCACTAGAATTATAATAACTATTCCATGGCATTACAAATATAAATTTCCCAGACTGTAACAATCACTGGGAAGGGCTTTCAGTAACACTGTACCTGGAAAAGACAAACTGACCAAATGGAAAGAAACATGTTGAGAAAAAGAGTAAGAGCTCAATATGGACACACAGGGTAAGACCAAATCATAAATTCCCTTCAGAAAGCAGGAGAAGACTTCAAATTTAGTATGGAAGCAAAAACTGTTATCACTATGAGCTCTGGAGTAATATGATGTGCTTCTAAAGAGTCTTCAGTCATAAATCATTAAAAGAATTTAAGATACAGACAAGTTCATCCATAATTCCATCACACCAATAAAAGTTCTCTAAATTCCCACTATCTGAGATAGAGATGAGGGAGAAAGCAGAATCCGAGAAATGAGATAAAAAACTCATAGAAATATGAAAATATGAGGGAATGAAGTCTGTGAAATGAAACAACACAACATACACAGCAATAGGACTTAACAACATAGATATGGTATTATTTATATTTTGCAGTATGGAAGAATAGTCACACCATAACACAGAGGAAGTGGACCTAGATGCAGGAGTAGAGGTAGTGTGCATTCTGCTATACAAAGGTAATGTCTCAGGTGACAACAGAACTTTTTAGAAAAGCGGTTATGTCTAACAGCTTGAGATACAATAGTAGTGGTCCGCTTTTTGTTCCTATCATTAAAAATTTTCTATTTAAAGTCAGAAACATAAAATAATTTTTAAAATAGCTTTTAAGCCAAATATAAGATTCTAGATTACTGACAGTTCTGAGCAATTTGTTTACAGTTTCCAAGACAGACTAATATCCTTTTATTTTTTATAACTATAACTCAGACAAATACTGCTAAATACTACCTGCGTATGTATTTACTCATAAATACGGCCTTTTATACTACTATTTAAAAAAGAAATTCATGTTTAGGCTCATTTAAAAGTACAGTCTATTTTGTGAAAGCTAGTCTTTGCACTTTCCTATTTGTTTATAATAGGTAAAAAATTATGTCAGGATCTGAACTAAAGAAGGAATTACTGATAAATTTCAACTGATTTTATATTACTTGCAAAATGCAATCTCTTTAAGATCTGTATTTTAGTATTTAGGAAGAGTGTTTCTTACCAGGTTGTAGCTGCTTTTTTATTCTGGGATTCTCATTGCCTTTTACTATGTTTACTCTTTGTTTTTGCGGAGATTTCTTCATAGGTGGCTTAGCCCTTCGAACAGTTTTCACTGGAGATTTTTCTTGTTTCTTCGCCCTTTTAGCATTTGTTGCCACTGGAACATCTTTAGAAATAGGAACTTCTTGGTTTTTTCTATTCAATTTGGATTTCTGTACAAACTGTGCAGTCAACACTTCCGCACCTTATGTAGAAAAAAAGACAGTTTTTGTAAGGTGTACAGACCCAAATATTTTTCAGTATAGTTTTTCTCTTTATTTCTTTTGGTTTGGGGCAACTTATAAGAGAATAAATAACAAATTTTGGGGTATAACTAAAAGACTTTTGTTTTGCTTTTTAAAAAGACAAATTAGAGCTGGGCATGATGGTGTGTGCCTGTAATCCCACCACTTGGGAGGCTGAGACAGGAGGATCTCTGCAAATTCCAGGCCAGTATGGGCTACAAAGTGAGTTCAAGGATAGCCTAAAGGACAATAAACAAACAAATAAATAAATGGAGTTATAGGTTCTTATGTAAGTATAGGAACTTGCTAGAGTCTGCTTGTAGATTTAGCAAATAAAGAAAAATGTAGGGTAATATAAAAATCGCAACCTAATTTTTTTTTTTTTAAATACTTTTTTCTTTGAAATGTTTCAGGTACAGGGTCTTACTATACATATCAGATTTGTAGTGATCCTCCTGTTTTCAGCCTCCCAAGCACTGGGATTATAGGTGTGTGCCACCACGCCCAGTCTCAATAGCTGTCTCAGCGTGCCCCAGGGGCAGGGCCAGCACAGTACACCCAGGATTGAACCCCAGTCCCTGTGTCTGCCTAAGCAGGTACTTTAATCCACTGAGCCATCTGGTCGGCCTTTTTTTTTTTTTTGGTACAGGGTCTCACTATGCAGCTTGGATGTGTAGTGATCCTCCTGTTTTCAGCCTCCCCAGTACCAGGATTACAGGCGTATGCCACCACGTCCAGACTTCATCACTGTCTCACTGTGCGGCATGCAGTACCGGGAATCAAACACCAGTCCCTGTGCTGGCCTAAGCAGGCACTTAATCCACTGAGCTATCTCACTGGCCCTCCATAACCTAATTTTTAAAAAATCTGTAAAATCTTTTCTGATTGATGTTACAGGTAAAACTAGTTAACTATAATCACCCTATGCTCACAAAGAGACATATTTTACTACTCATTAACATCTCAATTTTTAATGTTAATTGAAAAATAAACTTTAAGGGCCCCGGGAGATAGCTCAGTAGAATAAGCGCTTGCCAGGCAAGCGCAGGGTCCTGAGTTCAATCTCCGGTACTGCAAAAAAAAAAAAAAAAAAAGAAACTTTAAACAAAAAAAGAATTTCAGAGAATGACTGTGGAGTCTGTACCTGGTTTTATTTGCTACAAATTTACCACCTTACAGAAAAGAAATCACCCCTTTTACAAGATGACCTGCTTTGATTCTTACATGGAATTAAGAAAATACCGAAAGGCAGAGGTAAGCAGGGAGGGAAAATAAAAATCACTGGTTGAATACTACACAATGAAATATCAATGCTAGAGTTATAAAATTAAATACATTTTCCCCAACTGGATTTTCATAAATCTGTTTCACCAATAAAATTTAACCCCCAAGATATATAATTACACATGAATGTTAGCAAAATTTTTAGGTTAGACAAAAGACACTATGATATTAAACAGCATAAGATACTGACAAGTGTCAGGGATATATAGGAAAAGAGACATACTTCATTTCATTCTTTTAAGGGGGTTACAGAAAGGAATGGTTTAAAGAAAGCTTTCAAATTTCTCTAGTTCTATTTTCTTCCCTATGAAATTATCATAGGAAATAAAGCAGAATATTGGTTTTATTTTTTTTTAAATTTTATTTATTTATTGTGTGTGTGTGTGTGTGTGTGTGTGTGTGTGGCCAGCTCAGCCCACCAGGGGGCGGGGCTGGCTGGCATGTGGTGCTGGGGGATTGAACCCGGTCCCTGTGTTTTGCGAAGCTTGTTCTAAGTAGGTGCTTTAGACCACTGAGCCATCTCACCAGCCCCAGAATATTGGTTTTAAAGGTGTAAGACTTCTCATTACATTCTAGTTAAATCTTCTAAAATCTTCAGCATAAGGAAAATGCAAAAATACAAGCAGGAAAAATATTTAATATTAAATTAAAAGAAAAATAAGGTTAGACAACCATCTAGTTGCACAAACAAGAAGGGAAAGTCTCTCATAAATGGAGGTGCTGGGCTGAGAGAGTTGGGGATAGGTTGTATTCTGGATGAATGACAGCTTCCTTAGTCATGGCATAATCCAGTGTGGGATGGGGTTGTAAAATAAATGTGTCACAACTAGAGTATTATATCAAATATAGTGAATACATAGTAATTTAAAACATTTGGAAACAGTAAGAATGCATGTTGAGTTAGAGATAGTTTAATAACCTGAAGTAAACTGGCTTACACAGAACAGAAGATCAGAATGGTAGGGCTGGAATACATTTACAAACAGTTGTATGGTCCGATTCCATGCTTTATATCCTCATACTTTCCACCAACCTCCAAAATACACATATATTACACCATTTCTCAAACCACAGGTCAGAAATTATTCGTTAAAACATGGGTAAAAATCTCACTTATTCAGAATCCTATGCATCAGCAAATCCTACATGTTTCTTCTTTACAAACATTTTCAAATGCAAAATAGCATAGATGGGTTGGCAAACATTCTGTGAAGGACCAGAAAGTACACATTCAGCTTTGAAGCCATCTGGTGGTCTCCATCATAATTGCTGAACTTTCGTAGAGTACGAGAAGCCAATGGTGACACAGGTATGACTAAGAGGTTCCTTGGCTATTTAGTCCCCCACTTTTTTTTTTTTTTTTTTAAAAAAAAGGGTCCATAGGGTCTCACTACATAGATCAGACTTGCAGTGATTCTGTTTTCAGCCTCCCAAGCACTGGGATTACAGGCGTGTGACACCATGCCCAGTCTCACTGTCTCAGTGTACCTTGGGGGCGGGGCTGGCAAGGCACACTGGGGATTGAACCCCAGCCACTGCACTCTGCCTAAGCAGGTGCTTTAGTCTGCTGAGCTAACTGGCTAGCCCTAGTTCCCTACTTTTTTAGAGAAAACACACTAAATATAATTTCAGATGATGGCATGGCATGCTGGCTAACATACATTGGTCAAAATCTTAATGACTCTGGAATCTGATTCTTTTTTGCTTTCCAGGAGCATCAAATTTCTGTGGAACTTTTTCAATATATAAATTATATTCCATATCATGGCCAGGGAAATAGCTCAGCAGCAGAAACACCTGCCTAGCAAGAACAAGGTCCTGAGTATGATACCCAGTACAAACAAACAGACTATATTCCATTTCAGTAGGTTGGTCTTAAGATCCAGTTGATTTTTTTCCCCCTTTAGTCTTGGGGACAAAACCTATGCTTGTACACTGAGCCCTTTTTCCACTTTTCATTTTGAGATAGGGTCTTTCGGGGGCCGGGGAGATAGCTCAGTGGAATAAGCACTTGCCTGGCAAGCCAAAGGACCGGGGTTCAATCCCTGGTTCCGTAAAAAATAGATAGATAGATAGATAGATAGATAGATAGATAGATAGATAGAGATAGGGTCTTTCTAAGTTGTCCAGGTTGGGCTGGATCTTGTAATTGTCCTGGTTCAGCTTCTCTTAGGTGATCATTCAAAAAACTCTGACATATACCAAGGAACAGAAACTTGATCCCAGACTACTTTAATGTTAGGGATCCATGTACTTCCCTTCTTTTTATATGTGTTTAGGCTATCAGCTATCATACTTTGCTAACAGTGATATGCCTGCTTTTAGAAGATCCTCTTCTTTCATCTCAAATTGTCAGAAGATGGCCCCCAAAATATAGATGACAATCTTTCTGAGAATGAAATTTAAGTATGTGATAGTCTGAGAGGTTTTACAAGTAGAATATGCTTTTAGCGGGTAGGCCTTTGCTATATCTTAGTTTATTATATTTCATGGTTTTCAGCAGTTATTTAGGTCAGTACCTCTCAAATTTTGGCAGGTACACACATCTCCTACAAACATGAGATGTTCCTAACAAACTTCTAACAGTCTGCCATGCTCTAGTCCATATAAATCCAGATAGGTATAGACTTTGAATACAGTAGTTACTATTTTAATAATCCACATAAATTGTATTTACCTCTTTTTCTTTTCTGAGGAAACTGTCCTTTGACTAACTTTAGAGTTGGTGGAGAGTAGGACCTTCGGTCTGTTCCAGGTGTAGTTCTTTTGGCAAATGGGCGGCATAAGTTTGCCCTTTTACTAGGCAATATGGGCAGCATGCTGGCCTTTCTCTTTGGCTGTATTCTCAGATTTGATGCTGCACTCAATGGAACCACAGCTGCCTTCTTAGATTTAAACATTTCTTCAGAATTTTTTTCTGTTCGAGGTGTTTTTCTTACTTCTGGCTCTGAATCAAGAAATTCAGGATCTGGAGTCATAACTAAAGAAAATCCAGCATCACAAATTCCATCTGAAATATAAGGAGATGGAGGATGTTCTGCTAACAAATTCAATGCAGTAGATACTTCCAAAGTATAACCACTAGAATCTGAAAAATAAGACTTCAACTGAGTTAAAGATTCGGCAGAGCACTTTTCAGTTGGAAAAACTGTATCAAATCTACTGGATACTTCCTCACAGAATGTAGTCTCTGTCTCTCCATTCTGAGGACCAGCAGTCAATGAAAGGCTTTTGTGCACCTTTAACAATTCTTGGAAATTATGCTTTACTAATACATTTGGATGAGTTCTTTCTTCAGGAAGGAATTTCTTTGCTTCTAGAAGGGCATAATTAAGGCCAGGTAAAATGGGAGCCAGCTTCCATGAGATGTCATCTTCAGTTTTCAAAACTTTCACCTCTAAAATAGATATCATATATATTAGAAGGCTGAAGTTTCTTTAATAAAACATATACAGAAAAATAAAACAATTATATATGTTAAGAGGTTGCTAATAATAACTAAACAGCAACTAACAGGTTTATGACTATATTTAACATATTTATGACAGGGCTGCAATTTCCTTATCTTACTTCTATAGCTTGAACCACCAGTGTCACATGCATGACTGCCCCACTGGGTGGTTTTTTACTAATATGATTAAAGCTGGGGGAAAATTGTTAATAAGTATATTAACTTCACAGATTTGAAATTATATGCATACATGAATTGAAACAGAATCATATAATATGCACTTACTAAGTTAGAATAAATACTAAACTCTACTTCCAGCTCTCTCTCTCTTGATCAGGAACTCAGTAGGATGTCAAAGGTTTTTTATAGTAGCAACAATGGTCTTTAGAGCAGATTTGCTTCCCTACTTATTTTCTGCTTTAGAAATACACTATTTTATCTGTACATACACAATTCTCTTCAAATTCTTTTTAGAAGTCATATGCAAATCAACTAAATTGAAGTAAGGCCCTAAGTAACCTTCAAGTCTAACTGAAACAACATTTGCTGATTCTATCACCTTTTCTACCAAATAGAATAAAAAAATTTAAAATTAACTAAGTCAATTAATCTATTTTCACCTTCTCTTCTAACTAACTCTTTGAATGCTATTTCTTAAGTGAATCAGTAACTGAAATGGACCAGTGAGAGAAAACAAGAAATGGTCAGGTTTTCCTGAACATGTTACTAACATGTATGTACAAAATTTCAGTTATCAGTAATATAAACTGACAGGTAATAAAGACCTCCATTATCCAGTAAATGGAATGGGAATTATCCCATTCTTTTTAAAGAGAAAGTACCTACCTGCAGAATTATAAAACATCACATCAGTCTACTTAAATAATTATTATTACAGCAAGTATTAAAGTAAAAAAGGGTAAATAAGAATAAGTAGGAAAATGTGGTTAGATGTTAAAGTTCTTTTTTTTCTGTAGTTCATCTTTTAGATATAAAAAGTGAAGAAGGTATAAAACATAAAGAAGTCCATACACACACACACACACACACACACTTTTTTTTTAGTGTATTTGGTACAGGGTCTCAGTACACAGCTCAGACTAGTAGTGATCCTGTTTTCAGCCTCCCCAGCTGAGATTATAGGCATACACTACCAAGCCTGGTCTCAGTTGTTGGCTCAGCGCACCCAGGGGCAAGGCTGGCTTGGCATGTGGTGCCAGCATTCAAACCTTGGTCTCCACATTTGCTTAAGCAGACACGTAAGAGTTCTTATGTATTTTATAGCACACAGTTGGGGCCTGCCCTTTAGCTTAGTTCTTTAAGTAGCTGTTTCAACAAAGCAGTCAGGCTCAGGTTGCTGTGGCTGGATCCCCACAACCCAAGCCAGCCAAACCTGCCCTGAAGGCATTCGGAGGGAAAAAAAAAAAATCCTTCTATAGCACACAGTTAATAAAGTAACCTTTTCTAGGCAATTGCATTACTTCATAAAGCAACTTGGTAATGCAGTATTATTTTTAACAGTATTATAGAATCTTTAAAATGTTTTAGATTGGCTAAAGATACTATTATTCAGGGCCGGGGAGATAGCTCAGTGGAATAAGCACTTGCCTGGCAAGCAAAAGGACCTGAGTTCAATCCCTGGTTCCGCAAAAAAAAAAAAAAAAAGATACTATTATTCAAAGTGAAACAAATAACTAAAAATTTAAGTATCTGGATGACCCTAAAAAAACTGTCTTAATGAGCTGAAGAGCAAATGAAAAATAAAACATTACAATTTTATTGAAATAAGAGTTTCTAGACTTCTCTGGGTACAGGTAGTAAAGGTTCTTAGCCAAGTTGCAACTACAATTAAAAAGAATGATAACAGAAATCTGACAGAAAGATGCTCTAAGATATACTAGCTAAAGTCAGTATGAAGTCAGTTTTATAATGCTGGGCAATTTAAGTCTTGGTTTATCTCTTTTTAGGATTGTTAAATCAATTATACCTTGTATAATACTTAATATAATATTTCAAATAAACCATTGCGTTACTACAAATGCTAATGTTTTGCTCATTCCAAAGAAGTGATATCCAAGAAAGTGCAGCTCTTGGCTCTGAATAACTTAATATAATTTTATTTTATTTTTTTCCGGAACCAGGGAATGAACTCAGGTCCTTGCACTTGCCAGGGAAGCGCTTATTCTACTGAGCCATCTCCCAGGCCCCAACTAAGCATGGTGGTGTACCCTTGCAGTCTCAGATACTTGAAAGCCTGATGTGGGAGTATCCTTGAGTGCAAGAATTCAAGACTAGCTTGGGCAGCATAGTGAGATTCTGTCTCACCACCACCTCCTTTTAAAAGTAAAAATCAACTTTCAGAACTTTCCTGTATTGGCTATAGCTTTAGGAATACCAGGCAAAGTATTCATGCTTAAACACATACCATACTCGGTGGAGATACAGCTTAGTATTTGAACACTTACCTAACATGCATCACAAAATACCAAAAAAAATTTTAAAAAACCACACAGTATGATTATAGAACATTGAGAATTTCATTTTGTGACAAAAGGCAAACACTATAAACAATTTATTGATAATAAACTTAAGGATAGGTTTCAATCAGTTGAGAAGTTATCAAAAAACGATCTTGAAACTATTACTTGATAGATATAAATAAGCCAGATAAGTGTTTCTCTACCTTTTTCTTTGTTATCCTTTATGTAAGAAACTTTATTACATATAATTTTAACCTAATTGCCCTGTGAAAATTTAATATCACAGCTATACTGCAGCTCTGTTTAGTTACTACATGAATAACATTTTTTAACCACAACAACTGAGTTTGGGTCTTTTAGGGAAACAGAATGCACTCTCAGAATGCACAGGACTGTACAGACAGAAAGACAGATGGCAGCATATCTAAGAACCTGAGGCTATGGGTAAAGTATATCCTGGTTACTGCTGTTCAGTAATAGATGGATTCAATTTTGGACAAGTTGAATTTAGGTAACCCTGGAGATCATCAAAGTGGAAATGACAGCAGACAATGAAAACATGGGTCTGAAGCTCAGGGAAAAGGGTAAGCCTTCAAAGAAGTCAAAAGGAGTTAAGTCTGTAGTGTAAGGGAAGAAAGTTATTTAGGAGGATGGAAAAACAAACCCAAACACTTTACACTGTCATGTGTTACTAAGATGTCAAGTCAGATGAGCACTGAAAACAGACCAAGTGAAGTGGATGCCACTATATCCTCACCTGTGGCCAGGGGTGAACGGAATAAATGTAGCGCACGTAGACCCATCTGTTCATCTCCAATACCTATACAGAATGAGAATCAAAAGAAAAACTATTGTTGCTTTTGATCTTATAAAAGAAAAGTAAATAAAATGAAAGAAAAATTTCCTGAAGTTAGTTGACTTTACCTGGCTCTGGTCTTAAGGCTGATGATGAAAGTAAAATGAAAAGTCCTCGATCTTCTAAGCATTTGATGATTGCCTGACACATGGAAAAAAAAAAGAAAACAAAAACAAAAATTAAAAAAAAGAAAGATTGTTTAACAGCTTCTGAGCTCAAGAAAAAATTCCTGAAATATCAGTGTTTATAGGAGTGACGAGAATTTTGTCTCTAGTATCAGAAACCACAAGTTCCTTAGTTCAAATAATCTTGGCCTTATTCTGGCAACTCTCACAATAACTAGAACAGCAATGGTTAGTTTTAAAACACTCCAACTGTATAGCAGGTCAGTGAGCAAAGGCTTACTTTTTTCCAGTGAGATAGTTCACATTTCCAATCACCATCAAAAAACCAATACTGGTAATCCCAGAACTTGGGAGGTTGAGGCAGAAGGATTGCTGTGAGTTCTATGGCCCCCCGAGGCTACATAGTGAATTCAAGGTCAACCTAGACTATGTAGCAAGACTGTCACAGAAAGCAAGGGGAAAATAGTATGTTACCACATAGTCATTGATACAAAATGAATCAGATCTATAAATATTGTATTTTATCTTTTATAATGCTGGGTATTGAACACAGGGCTTCACAGCAGATAGGCAGACACTTTACCATTGAGCTACATTCCCAGTCTTCTTTATTTTTTTTTTATTTTTTAAATGTATTTAGGACAGGGTATAGAGGGTCTTCACTACATAAAATGGACTCGTAGTGATTCTCCTGTTTTCAGCCTCCCAAGCGCTGGGATTACAGGCACATGCCACCATGCCCAGTCTCCATCACTGTCTCAGCACACCCCAGAGGCAGGGCTGGGTCAGCATGCCAGGGATTGAACCCCCAGCCTGTGTCTGCCTAAGCAGGCGCTTTAGTCCACTGAGCTATTGGGCTAGCCCTACATCCCTAGTCTTAAACTCATGTTTACATAAAATTGTTGCAGAATCCTGGAACCAGAAAGACTAAAAGATACCAACCTCCCCCAAATTTGTTCTACGGTATTCTAAGATTTTTTTTTTAAAGTAATGAGTTCTGATGGTAACAAAAAATGTGAATAAAAGTAAATTCTACCAGTCTTCCATGGATTATTTACTTATTTATTTACTTAGTATAGGGTCTTGCTAAGTAGATCAGACTCACAGTGATTTTCCAATCAGTCTTCCCAGTGCTGGGATTATAGGCATGTACTACCACACCTGGTTTTGGTGGCTGGCAAGGTGCACCCAGGGCCAGAATGGCATATGGTACTAGGGAATGAACCCAGGCCCTCACACTTGCCATGCAGGCACTTAGACTGCTGAGGTATCTCCTTAGCCCGTCCATGGAATCTTGAACTCCAATTTTAATTTAGGAAATTTTGTCCCCAGGAATCAGGGGAAGTAATCTAAAGCTATCATTCTAAATTATTAAGTTGAAACTCCTTGTTTTACCTCTGTTCACCATTTCAAATACTTATATACCTGTAACAAAGATAAAACCCAATGTTCTTACATTAATTTTAAAGTAATAAAGAATAAGCTACCTTGAGACACAAAAGTAAACTGAGGTACAAGGGGGATGAAAACATGTTAAGTCAAAAATACTATGTGTGGGCTGGAGAGATGGCTCAGTGGTCTAAAGCACCTACTTAGAACAAGCTTAGCAAAAGCATCAGGGACTGTGGTTCAATCCCCCAGCACCACATGCCAGCCAGCCCGCCCCCTGGTGGGCTGAGCTGGCCTCTCTCTCTCTCTCTCTCTCTCTCTCTCTCTCTCTCTCAAATAAATAAAAAAAAATTAAAAAAAAAAAGTTTAAAAAAAAAAGTTTAAAAACAAAATACTATGTGAACATATCAATAAATCTCAAAGAAAAAAAATCACTTCAGAAATCTAAAATATTTCCATTTAGACACAGACAAGCAATACTTTTTCTAAAACTATTTGGTACAGGATCTCACTACATAGCTGGGACTCATAGTGATCCTCCTGTTTCAGCCTCTCCAGTGCTGGGATTACAGGCATGCGCCATCATGCCCAGTCTTGGTGGCCAGCTTAGTGTGCCTGGGGCAGTGCTGGCATAATATATGGTACCAGGGATTGAACCTGGGTTGTTGCACTTGCTTAGGCAGGCGCTTAGACTGCTGAGCTATCTCTGAAGCCCTCAAGTAATACTTTGACATCAATTTCTCAATTCAAGAAAAAAATTATATATTAAATGAATGATTCTTGTTGGACATGGTGGCACATGTGTAATCATGGCACTTAAGAGGCTAGGTGGGAAGATTGTTAGGAGTTTGAGACCAACCTGGGCTACACAGTAAGTTCAAGATCAGGTGAATTACATAGTAAGATTCTGTCTCAGCCAAATTAAAAAAAATCTTACCAATTGCTTGTTTTCCACGTATTCTATTAATTTATCTATTTCTTTCCTTTGTTTGTTTGACAATTCCACTTCATAGAAATTGAAGCACACATCTTGGGAACAGACTGTAAAGGAAGAAAAAAATTTGGTTTTGTTTTTTCAATATTTTGTATCTTCATAAATAATTCACTCATTTTATATTACCAAAGTGAAAGAACCAACAATACTACTCAAAAAAGATTTATGATTACATAAGCATAATTATAAAACTCTTTAATAAAATGTCACTCGCCACGCGCTGTGGCACAGACCTGTAATCCCAGCACTTGGGAGGCTGAGACAGGACTGTTTCGAGTTTGAGACCAGCCTGGGCTACAAAGTGAGCTCAAAGCCAGCCTGTGATGCACAGCAAGTCCCTGTCTCTAAAAGACAAAAA